AACCCGTTCTCCCGCCGCGCGACGCCCGGGCACTTCCTCTTCCCTTCAAAGGTCGCGGCACGCGCTCGCCTCACTTCCGCTTGAGTCTGCCTCACTTCCGCCAGGACCGCCTCACATCCGGCCTGGGCCGCCTCACGTACTCCCAGGATTCCTGGGAGTTGTAGTTCGAGAGCCGCGCCGTTTCTCCCTGTCCTTTGCTTTCTGTCCCGGGAACCTTGTATCTCCACGTCCTCAGCCTCGCCGCGTCCCTCTCTCTCTTCTTGCCCCACGCTGGCTGTCCGTTGGACGCTCCGGGGCTCCGCGTCTCCTCCTTACCTCTCCAGTCTTCCGTCACTGCCTAGGAGAAGCCGCTCGCCCGCGCCTCTGCCATGCTGTCACCGTCCTGTAGTTTCACAGAGGAGCATGCTTGGACTGCAGTTGTCACTACCCCATTAATGTCACCTTCCTGCTCGGGAGGGGGCGGCGACTGTGCCCAAAGCTCCGGGAGGGAAGTAGGATTGGCCTGTAAGAGTTAAACTAGCAAAAAGCGAAAGATAATGAATGCAATTCTGGGGCTAAGGAGCAGTGACTGGAAAAGGGGCCTGGAAACCAGGGCGTAGATCTCGGAGCGACTGTAGTGGGCTTGCAGCTTGAAAGACAGCGGAGGAAGGAAGGTTTTGTCGGACGAGGAGGCGCAGTATTTAAAGGAAAGTGTTCAAGAAGCCCTCTGAGAGAGCTGTTCTTCGAGAATTTCTCCCGTTGGGCCAACCGAGGAACTTCGTAAGGTCATTCCGCACCCACGTCGCAGCCTGATGAACTGCCTTCCCTTCAAGTACAACTGCAGAGAGAACAGGAGAATGCACTGTTTAGGCTACGTGGAGCACTGAAGGCTGGCTTTCTGGTGTACATATATTTCTCCTGTGCTTGTGAACTTAGGTTAAAATCCGGTAAGACGCACACACAGAGAAAAATAGTATATGTGACCTCAGAAAAGTAGTAACATAAACATGTGGGCAAATTTGTATTTCTGGGCAACAGGCTTCAGTCAAATGGAGAATTCACAGCCCAGTGTGGTGGCGCACACCTGTAATCCCAGCACTCTGGGAGGCTGAGGCAGGAGGATGGCTAGTCTGAGCCTGGCCTGAGCAAATTAATAGTATCCAGTCTCAAAATACAGAATGAGGAAACAGTTGGGGATGTGGCTCAGTTTGAAGGCCCTGGGCTCAATCTGCAGTACCAAAATGCATACATTCTTAAGTACAGGGCCAGTGCCCATGGCAGGCCCGTCTGGTACCCATCCCATCCCATCCTAAACTACCGTGTGTGTCACCTCTCTGCGCCCTCGCCTACCCGATGTTCACAGCTGCACTCTGGACGTGCTTTCTCCACACGCTGGACTCCAGGGTACTAACCTCTCATGGCTCTCTCCTTTCCAGTCTCCCGGGTGAGTCTTTCTTCACCTGCGCCCAGTGGGAGGATTCTGGCGGTGCTACCCCATCGCCCATCTAGTTCTTGTCCTGAGTTGGGACTGTCCAGCAGCCCTGTGGTGATGAAGACTCCAGGCCTGGGGTGTCCCGCACAGAAGCCACTGCTCACGTGCTGCTGCTGAACATTTGACATGTGCCTTGTGCAGCTGAAGAACCAAACGCTCGATTTAATCGGAAATAATTAGCCACAATGACAAATCCCCAGGGGACCCCCTTGGCCGGCTCCTTATTTCTGGGGCAAAGCCCTATACTTGCTGCGTTACCAGAGCTCCCCCTGGTGGATGCAGTGCGTATTGCAAGGATATATTTTTTGCAGTTAAATAAAAATTTGACAGACAGATCAGGGATCTTTTCCAGGTTTAGTTGCTCTAGCTGAAGAGTTTACAGGAGTTGGAGAAATTATGTCTCACCCTGTTAACTCCGCAGTAAGACAAGAGAGGAAGTTTAGCTGTGCTGCCAGGGTGCAGCAAACGCTGAGGACAGAATATGGAAACATACAGCAAATGTTTGAATTTTTAAGACATTTATTATAGTAAAAGACATCACCACGAATCCCCTTTGCTTTAAACACACGTATCCCATTCTTATTTCTACTTTCTGAAGCAGGTCTGGATGTCCTCATTCCTGAGTGCCTTTACAAGATGTGATCAAAAACACAGTGAATGGTGCTGCTGAGTAAAAACAGGATGCTGAGTCCTCATCTGCCGTATTCACTGGACCTGGTACCATGCTACCTCTGGCTCTCCCCCGAAGTCAAAGTGCCCATGGAGGCTGAATGCTTTGAATCAGTTCAGGACATGGAGGCAGCTATGGCAGCACAAGTAAAAGCCCTCGGGAAAGAGGACGCTGGAGCTGCTGCAGACAGTGGCGGGCACCATGGGATGTGTTCAAAGTGAGCAGAGGGTTTGGAGGAGGCTTAATGGCAATGTGTCTTTTACTGTAATGATTTTAAGAGATTAAACATTTAAGATGTTTTTCTATCACATTGTGCATCTTTTCAATTAGAGGATGTTATAGTGAGAGATGGAAAATTTGACCCAGAGAAACCAAGTGAGATAGTGAGCACCCCAAATCCTGGGGTAAATGCTGAATTCTATGAGCGACACTCGGACCACTCACGGGGTAAGGAAGCCAGGCAGCTTTCATGAGAGAGGAGGACATCGCTTCTGCAGGGACCCAGTTGGAACGGGAAAATTTAGAACAAATTAAAAAGAAAAGAAAAGTGCAATGAAAGGAGTCTGGAAAAGACTTTAAAAACATCTACTCTTTACAAGCTCATAAAATATTTAAGAAAATGTGTTCTTAAAACTTCCCTCAGCCATGTTTACCTGCCTGCTGACAATATTCTAAGGTGAATAGCCTATGGGTTGCTTTGGGGTTTTTCTTCTCAGAGGTTATGTTTGGTTTTTCTTTTTTATCAAAGTCATTTTCTATTTCCCCAGTGATTCACAGGCACTGTCTTATTGTATTTATTGGTTATCACCTGGCTAATTAGAAACTATATTTGTAAGAGTGTTGAAGAAAAATATGTTTTTGGTGAAAAAGTCACAATGCCGGTGTAGTGGAGTGGAAAAGACGTATGTTTAACCTGGGATTGAACCCAGATGCCATGCACACCGTCAGTAGCATGCGCACCCACACTATGGGAGAGCCACGCTGTGTTCAGGATTCGCAGCCTGCAGGGCTCCAGTCCACAGTGCCCATGCTCCAGAGCTGGGCGGATGGCAACACTGCACAGCCCAGTGTGTTCCTGCTGCCCCAGAATGCCTACTTCTGTCGGGACTGATCCCGGGGTTCGGGTCTCAGCCAAACAGTGCACTGTGTACTGTTTTTCTTTCTTCTGGTACTGAAACCAGGAGCTTATGGAGCTGCACTCCTAGCTCTCTTTATTTTATTGTATTATTTATTTATTTTGGTACCAGGGATTGAACCAAAGACCTTGTGCTTGCCAGGCAGGTGCGGTGCCACTGAGCTACATCCCCAGCCTTTATTTTATTCTAAGACAATGTCCTGCTGAGTTTCCCAGGCTGGCCTCGAACTTGGGATTCTCCGGTATAGCTGGGATTACAGGTGTGTGCTGCCACTCCCTGCACTGCTGTGTACCCAGGTTTTCACAGTCAGTACCTCTGTAATGTGGTAGGTGCAGGAGCAGAGGTGAGGGCAGACTTTAGCTTTTACTTTATAAACCTGCACAGTGATGAGTCTTCTATTTATCTGGCACTGGGAATCGAACTCAGGGCCTTGCACTTGCTAGGCAGGCACTGCCCCACTGAGCTACCTCCCCAGCCCTGAGTTTTAAAGTAAACTTTTTTTGTGTGGTACCAGGGATCAAACTCAGAACCCTGCGCTGGCCTGGCCCTAAAATAAACATCTATTACATAATTTAAAAAGAATTGCGGCTGCAGAATTGAACGAGAAAGGGCAGTGATCACAAAGATGAAGCACGCGAGGGCATCTGCCTTCTTTAACTGCAGGGGTGGCAGAGGAGGAGGGCATGGGGACGGGAGCATCACTTTCTAGCGTCTTCCGTTCATCCTCACGTGAGGAACTCTCAAAGACTGCAGTGAGGGAGCACCTGTGGCTCCTTCCTGAAGCAGGTGACAGATTCTGACCCATCAGCTGCAGAGCCATGGACCGCGCAGAATGCAGCCCTGTCTGCCTCTCACTCCCAGGACGTGGGGCACAGGTGCACATGGCGAAGGCTGGCTGAAGCGGGGCAGGGCCAGCAAGCTTTGCCCCCAGGGCTGCCCTCCGAGTGTGGACTCAGCACAGCACTTCCCGGAGCAGCTGGTCTGGGCCTCGGGTTCGGAGGAGCCTGCGGATGTGATGCGGATAGACTTGCTCAGAGAAGCCCTGACTCTCCACTGAATTCCAGTGGCTTTAAAGGAGGACGAGAAGCCAGGAGAGACGGAGACGGCGTGCACACCCTCCCCACCCACACACACCCTCCCTCTGCGTCGTGCGCCGAGGTGCCCTGTGCACTTGGGGCTTCCCTGCCCAAGTCCTCTCCGGATGCGGCACCCACTGGGCTTGTACCCCTGCCATGAGCAAAGGCAAACGTTTCCTTCACAATTCACCCAGTCCTTGATGACCAGCATCAGAAAACCAATACAACCAGCCTTTGCACTTTTCCAAAACATGCTAGAAAGGCTGGAAAGCTGCGTGAGAGCCTCGAGAACACAGGGACCCAGCACCGGCACACTAGCTATGGGGTCAACCTCACTGGAGAAGTCAGGCGATAATAAAAACGATCAATATTGACTTTTCTCAAATGTTTAATAAGCCTCAGTATGTCTAATGAAATATTTTAAAAACTAGGGTTGGCGATACAGGTCCGAGGTGAACCACTTGCCCAGCATGCTCAAGCTGGGAGATTGAGGCAGGAGGATCTCAAGGTTGAGGCCAGCAAGATGCCGTCAAACCAACCAACTCACCCACCAACCCAAAAAACAACAAAGAATCCAAGACTGGGAAGACTGTACGCCCCGCCTACAGACTGCCTCTGTCTCCTCTATGCACTGTACACATGCACAGGGGCACAAGGGTGCTTAGACGTCGTACGGGAGGAGGAGAAGGTGCGCTAATGCTGTTCCCACCGTCTTCTCCAGCACAGACCCAGCAAGTCAGCTCTAGACCCCAGCACCACCATCAGACCCACGACTGCAGCCCGGTCCCAAGTTCCCTCCACACAACATGGAGATTAACAACAAATCCTTATAAATTTGTATGACTGAAAAATTTTAAGTTGTAAGGGACAAAACCCTTTTGTTAAAGCCAGTACTTGAAAAGCATTCTGAGAGCCTCCAGTTTGCCAGCCTGCAGCCCGAGCACTGCCCGTCCTTTCCCGGGACCGGCGACGCCCAGGCTTCTGGGTCTGCCTGCTCCGGGGCCTGTATTTCATACCCAGCGGGTGGGAGTCTGGATCAGCTATCCCAGGATCTCTGCTGCTCCCACAGGGCCCGTGCAGGACCCAGGGCCACGTGTTCTTCCCAGGCACACTGGAAGAAGGCTTTCCACACACTCAGGTCCCCTTGCTTGCTGCCAACAGCCTTCTGCTGTGCCTCGAACCAGAAGCGGTAAGACCCCTTCCCCACCTCGGCAGCTGCCTGACTGGCTAACTCACCGATTTAGTCACATGAATGTCTCCACTAACAATAAAAGCCAAATACACTTTGTTTTTAGTTTTTTGGCATATATTTACAATAAATACTAATTTGTTTTCAAAGTACATAACTTTAACAATTTCAGAAAATGATCTAGCATGGGACAGCAGTTTAATGTGAAGCCTCTTGAGTAGTGATTAAGGAAAAATAGAACCATTTGAGGACAGGTAGCCTGACGGGAGATCAGAAAGGCAGGGTGATCGGCCAGAACTCATGCCAGCCTGCACCGCAAGGTAAAAACTCCACGTGGGAGATAGAAAAAGTACACATGCTTGCATAGTGCATTAATCGTAGAGAAGCTCAACAGTTCATCTTCATTTTCAATAGTTTAAATGAGTAGCATTTAAAACACATCACACAAAATTAAAGACTTGTGCATATATTTCAGATTCCAACATTAATGTCAAAAATACATAGTATGACTTTACATAAGATTTGTGCTACATTAGAACACTACAGACAAACATCACTTGAGTATTAAGGAAAACATTAAATAGTAAATAACAGAAACAAAATGTGTAAACACTAACTACAGGGCCTTTGCTATTGCAATGTGTCCAACGAAGTGGTTTCCACAGTCCGAGGGGCCGGGATGGGAGCGCTTTCCGCCTACGGTTCGGGCAAGGTTCGGGCCTCCTTGCCGGGAGCCCTCAGCGAAACTGGTCCAGGGCGGCGGGAGAGGGGCCACTGTCCTCACTGCCATTTGGTGCACGCCACGCTGTGTGGCTCTGTACCTCACACCCGGGCACTGAGCGAGCACTCCGACGTGTCACTCCCGGTCAGCATCGTGGTGAGAACCGGGGGTTCGTGGGCGACTCGGTGTAAGACTTGAGTTCGTATGCAGCACCGCTATCGACCTCCATGGACTTTCTAGAGAACAGGAGCCGCACGTCCCTGTGGAGGTAGATCTTTCCAGACTTAGAGCTCTGGAACCTGGGCAGGGAGAGAGAGAGAGAGAGAGAGAGAGAGAGAGAGAGGAGGGCGGAGGGAGAAGACAACATTTCAGGGAAGGAGTCTTTAAAACAAACCACCCGAAGTAGTTATAGTTCGAAAGGATAATCTACGCCAGTACAGTAAGAAGCAAGAATCAATCTTGCTACACCACGAAACACGCCAGCCCACGTGACGCTGCAGAGCTTACATTGTCAAAGCACGCGTTTCTAATGTAAACGGCTCTCCCTCCCTCTTCCCCTCACCCGGCTGCCTCTCCTCCATGACCTCGAGCGTGTGGCCTTCCTCTATGGCCTCACTGCGGTCTCTGTCAGCTTGTCAGACTGCCTGGGATCACAGCCCCAGCACTTTCTAGACACACAGATTGACCTGTTTTAGCAAGGCAGCCTCCTGTGATGTGGAGTAGATTAAAGTGGTCCCCACGCTTGGAAGTCACTAGCGGAAATTTAGCTTTGAGGAGAGTCACAGGCAGCACTGCGGTGGTCAGCAGTGACCAGCACCGAGAGTGGGGAGGGCGGGCAGTGAGATAGAATGTCCATCGAATTGTCCGCAAGCTCAGCCTGTGAAGGGCACTGGTTTTCCAGCACAGGCTCCCCTAGAACCTGGAGAGCATCGGGCCTCTGCTGGGTCTGAATTTCACTCTGGGGAATGCTGGTTCCCTACAAACTCCAAGAGCGCTCGGGACGGACGCCTGGCCTGAGGAACCCTGTGGCAAACACATGCAAGCAAAGGAAGGAAGCAGGCTTGGAGAGGATGGGTCAGATGAGGGTTAGCAGTCTAAACCCGCTCCAAGTCTGGGGCAGGCAGCATTTCCTTCTCCATCCCCTGTACGACTCTCGCCAGGCAGAGCAAGCTGGTTTCAAGGTGTTAGGTTGGGCTGGTGTGTCTGGGGAAAACTTTCACCTCCCCAAGGTTGCCAGCATGTAGATGCGCAGCGACAGGGCAGAAAGGCTCTCTGCTTGTGCTGGGTGACCAGGCTCCTTGCAGTAGGGAGCCAGTCAGAGCGTGTCCCTGAAGTGACGGACACCGTCCACAGCAGGACAGAGTGCTGCTAGACAGGGTGTGGGAAAAGGCCCCACTCTGCTCCCTGGTCCTGAGAGCTGCTCTAGGACAGGCCAAGCCTTACTCGAGACGCCAGCAGCCTGGGCCAGAGCGAGCGGCGGTTCTCACCACCTACAGCTCTGAGTGGGAGAGCTGGGGTGGCAGGAAAAGGCAATCCGATGGAATCACCAGGATATAACCTCGGAGAGCAGCTATATTGCCAGGGCTCCAAAGTCTGTGTCAGCATCAGATGTCCTGGCATCTGCTTCTGACTGAAATACCTGCCGAGACCCGGGTCAGCAGGGCCACGGAACTGCTTTAGGCGCGGTCACCGTGGTTTAATACAAAGTCTGACTCTGTCCTAACGTAGTACACCCCGCATTTCCCGCAGTGTCACCTCAGGTGGATGAGGTAGCGTAACAGGCGCTCTTCCGGGTGCCGGGCGCTGTCCTTGCCGACACTGCTCCGGGCCCCCGGCTTCACAGGCACGGAGAAGGTCCTCTGTCGGAGGAATGTCTGGTGGTTGGCCGGCATGCCCCGCAAGTCATACATCACAACAAACATCTTCACCACAGTCTTATTGGGGTTGAACAAGGTCTGAAGAGACAACAGAGAAACTATTCTTCAAGAGCAATGACACTGGTGTGAGTCAAATGGCGTCACCAAAATTAAACAGGCTTTTAACAGTAACAGATCCCAGCAGATGGGATTCGGGCTTACGGACTAAAGTTAACATCCAATACTGGTTTCAAAGGTTTGACCTCTTACTTCACAGTATTATAAAGTCCTGTAATGAATCAAAATCTTTAGTTACAAATTTCATATTAATAAAAAACAATAAGCAACTTTTCTCCTTTGGATTTTCAGAAATAGTTCTACTAGCTCAAACAAAACACACCCTTATTGGGTCAAAATATTCTAGTTCTGTGATTTCAAACTTTAGCTTTGCTAATGGCTATGAAGCACAAAATTCTAAAAGCAGAAATATTAAGTTTTCTCGCATTTTAATGGTGAGGAAACATTTTAAAAAATAACAATACAAGTTCAGTAAAACTAGAATTTTTTGGTGTTTTAGTACATATAGCAGTAGAACTAAAAGTGCTCAAAGGAGAGACCTTTCTACTTGAAATTCTTTTCAAATTCATAAAACACATCTCATTAATTATTAAATCCGAAGTAGGATAATAATACTTTGTGTTCTCATACTCGAAATCATTTCAAAATTCATAGCAACATTAGTTTTTGGCTTTGCTTTTTTGGTAGTGGGGATCGAACTCCGGTCCTTGCACTTGCGAGGCAGGGTGGTGCCACCACTGAGCTAAATCCCCAGCCGTCACTAGTTTTTTGTTTTTTTGTTTTTTTAATTAATATGATTATAGCTCAAAATGTGAGTCCTTAGTGGAGACTGAATTGATTCAGTGGGTTCTTGGCTACAGATAATTGAAAGAAAAACTTTCAAGAGCACTGGTTTTTAAAGGAACCTGTGAACTACGGTCTAACTGACCAAGTCACCAACACCTCAACAGGTCAGTTGGCACCGTGCTCTCAGCAGCTCACCCTTGGCACTGGGCATCACTCACGGAATCATGAAAATATATCAGCCTTCTGATCCAATCTCACAATCTAGTGAGTCTTCCAGTTAGGGCTAATACATTCGACACCCATAACCAGCAAGCAGGAGTTCAAGCCATGATTACACAGGACTGAACATGGAAGGGATGAAGCCAAGTTTCACGGTTACAATTAACCACTCGGGCTGTGTTCACCCAAGCGAGCTTTGTGTCGGGTCAGCATGTCGCTGACAATCCCAGCTGGCTGGCAGGGACCGACAGGACAGAGGTCGCCACTCCTGTCATGCAGGGGTCCAGTGGACAGAAGCCACACCTTACTCCGCAGTGCCTGCTGCTCAGTAAACACTTCTGCGTGCCACTGTTTCACTTTGCACACACATGCGGCCACCCACAGTGCTGGCAATCGTGGGCAATCGTGAGAGGCCCAGGGTCACAGAACACCTGTAGGACCAGGCCAGCCCCAAGTGCCGGGCTCTGGGTGACTCTGCAGTCTCTCAGCTCCAGACAAGACCTGAGCAGACCTGGAGGCGAGCGAGGTTGCCCTGGGCCAGACTGCACTGTGCAGGGCCTTCATGCCAGGCACCAGGCAGTGCATCTGAGTATACCAGACCAGGTGACCAAAACTGCTCTGGGCAGAGGGGCTGGACAAAAGGGCTGAGGCCTTCTCTGCCTGACACTGGTCAGACTAACGTCTCTAGTTAGGGTCCTCATCTTGCCAGAGTGAATCATTTCACCAGGGACATCATCATTTTGTGCTCCGGGTTTTCCTGCCAAAGCAGTACGAGTATTTGGGGAATCTCAATACGGCTTCTCACAGTAAAGAGAAGGCACTGGTCATGCTCAGTCCTAATTATACTGAAAATAGCTTTCTTTACGTTGTGCAGATGGTCAGACTATTTCTCTAAAGCATTCACCTTGATTAACCTATTAATGCTTTCCTTCTATGGTGCTCCCCAAAAGGCAATTCCTGGGCAGAGCAGGGACACTCCAAACCAAGCTGCCGCCCCACTGTTACTTACCAAAGTCGTTGCAGCAGCAGTAGCAGGAGAAAGGGCTAAGTTCTACATGTGTGTGAGAGAATGATTATTGCAATTGTAGGCTAGAAAACACATACCACTTGTATTGTTCCTGAAGGAGGTACTCGGTAACCCCTTTTACCAAGGGACTCTAAAGTAATCACACCCTTGAAATAAAAGAAGACAAATTGAGTACACACTGATGCAAATGTACACAGGACTAAAATAACACATCATGTAATTACAAAACTGCAGAATTCTATTTCTACAGAAAACGTTCAGATAGAATTAACAGAGATACATTCTACCAATATGAAACAGTAAGGCTCCCACCCTGAGGAAACAACTTATTGTCCTTCCTGCAGACCCTGCACAGGTAGGAGCAACACCAACAGCCCACTGCTGGAGACTCCCACTGAGATGGAAGACAAAAGGCAAGGTTCCTAACCAAAACGGAAACACAAGAAAGGCAGAGGTTATCGGGGAGCGAGGGGACGAAGAAGCAAAACACCATTTGTTCTTTGGGCAGTAGCGAGAGTGGAAGGCGTGTGTCTCTGCAGAAGTGAGCAAGGCTTTAGTCAAGGAGTTAAGTGACGTTGGAATCTGACTTGGAAAGAGAGAAGAAAAGGAGAAATAAAGAACAAAAGAGAGAAAAGAAAGCAAGCAAGCAAGGAAGAAGAGAAATGGAAAGGAAGGGAGGGAGGGGGGAGAAAGGGAAGGAGGAGACAGTGCAGGACGGGGAGAGCGACAAGGGGGAAGGTTATCCAGGAGTCTGCGGCTCGGGTCTGGTAATTTACAGAGGAGATGCTCAAGACAAAAAATGAGAAAAAAAGAAGGTTTAATCAGAAAATTTCAAGACTGGTTTGCTCTACATAAAAGCCAGCAAAGCTCATTTCCCAAGGGTTAACTGTTTCTTCAGAAATAATTTTATGCCATGTTATGTCTTAATCTGGACCTTCTGAAACTATTGCTTTTTAGCCATTTACTTACTAAGAGATTTAAGAAACCAAATTGATTTTAAATCAGAACACAATGAATTAAAGGCCAACAAGCTATAACGGGAGTCAAGGTTGTAGCTAAATCCAGGGGCATTTTAGGAGAGGACTCTCACAGGGGTGATTGCGAATCCCCAGGAGGCCTGGTCCCCAAACAGCAGCAGCCACCGGGGGTGTGCAGGTGCACACTGAGCAGGGTCCTGCCTCTCCCCTCTCTCCCCAGAGCCCACCCTGCAGGCCCCAGGGCTCCCTGCATGACACTGCACAGACATTAGGACATTAACGTTGGAGGAACACAGCTGTAGGAGGCCGAGTGGTTTCTCTGAGAACTCCAAACATTGCCCAAAAAAGTGTAAGTTTAAACAATAAACAAAAATGAATGCGTGAAACTTCTCAACAGTCAGGGGCCGGATGTCTGCAGGTGGTAACTGTGATCATTCATCCTTCGCTAGCTTTAAAGAAGAGTCCCCTCTGCTTCTTGAACCGGGTGACACTCCTCTCTGGAGCGGTCAGTGGTAACTGGAGTAACCACGCCCAAACATGCCAGCCTCGTCAGCCTCGTCAGCCTCGTCAGCCTCGTCAGCCTCGTCAGCCTCGTCAGCCTCGTCAGCCTCGTCAGCCTCGTCAGCCTCGTCAGCCTCGTCAGCCTCGTCAGCACAACTGCGAAACAGGGCGAGCCCATCAGCGCCATCTCTGTTGGGTCTGGAAGGGGCAAGGGCTGGGGGCAGCAAGGAGGGACGGATGGGAAGGAAGGTGAGGTTCCAGCTCTGGAATCTGCACCTGAGCGAGTGCACAGCGCTGAGACTCTGTGCAGTGAGCACACCTGTGCTGGGGGCTTTCGGGGGGGATGACGCTGGAAAGACACACGGCTCTCCACATCCAACTACATCAGACGGTCACTTAAGGGCTGACGAGGGTGTCAGAACCTGAACCTTTGACACCACTCCACAGCCAGCGAGCCTCCCAGGTAGGCGGCAACACAGGGACCCGCTGTGCGCCACAAACGCGACGCCCTCCTTCTCCTAGTTCCAGCAGAGCCCTGCGGAGAGCTCTCCACAGGGCAGCCCACTGTCTCCTCCCCACCAGCCCACACTCCAAAGCCGGCAGGCAGAGCTCCTACTGCACCGCACCCCTCGCTTCCAATAGGTGCACTTCTGAGGGCTTCACAGGGTCACAGTGGTAACCAAGAAAACATAAATGGGCACAGAAAGACCTAAGTTTAGGGCAACACTGCAAACCAATTTCCAAATAATATAAGACCACCTGGAGCACTGGCAAATTGGAAATTTAGGAAGTTACTGGGAAATTATTTGGAATTTTATTAATATTGTTACATTTGTTAATTTTTACTTTAATAATTTCATCATTTTAGTTGGCCAGCCTATTAGTCATTCCTAGAGAGTTACCACATTTAATATAAAAATAGAAACCCATTTTCTTCTGAGATTTTAAGATAGAATAGTAAAGTTAAGGTTAACTAAATTTGGTTAAAACCTTACACAAAAACTACTCAAATGACTGTGGAATGAAAAGTAGACAAAAGGACCGGGATGTAGCTCAGCAGCACCATGCCTGCCTGGCAAGCAAGGGAAGCTAAAAGAACACCTTGATCTGGTTCATTGCACATGGGAGGAGATGGACCCGGCCCCGGCCCTACTCTGGCCCTGCCCTGCCCTGACCTGTGCGGGACAGCACCTCTGCCGGTCTCCACGCAGGTGTCAGAGCGCAGGCACACGGCACGCAGAGTGCTGAGCCCCGACTCCTGACTGGAAAGCCCCGAGAGCGCTGAATCCCCGCTGAAGGGAGCACTGAGTGAGAAGATGCCACCGTCTGCACACCACAAAGAGCGCTCCTTGCGCCCATCATTGGCACCATCTGCCACGAGAGCCCCAAGTTATCACAGTAACACGCAGGGTTCTGTGGTCTGTGACGTGTGCTGTCTTCAAATACAACCAGTCCTTTGAAAGCAGACTAAATAACACTGCTTGAAGAAGAACTTAATTTTATTAATTTACACTAGGAAAGACTTTTGGTCTAAAATTGGGATCAATTGCTTGCAAAAGGAACCCATTCTAGTTCATAAAATGACGACTTAGAAAAACTGATATAAAACTTAGGATAGTTGTTTGAAGATCATCATCAGAGAAAAGGAAGCCAGGGCTTCTCACAGCGATGAACGGACACAGCAACTTGGATTACCGTCCTAGTCTGTTCAGAATCTGAGCCCTCTACACGTGCTTCTGTACTTTCTGGGGCCCAGTGACAGAACCGTTTTATCGCCTCCTCTTTCGTTTTTAGGATATCAAACACGTCAAATGATTAATACTATTTTTTTTTAAAAGCAAGCTCAGGGCCAGGATTTAGCTCAGCGGTTCCACCGTCTGCCTTGCAAGCACAAGGACCCAAGTTTGATCCCCAGTACCAAAAAAATGAGCAAGATCAAATTTTCCCTGGCTCACAAATTTCACATGACAGTGTGTATTTGGGCTGGTTCCTGGCCAGCCCACCCATTATCAGGGACCTGAGCTCCGCGAGCCCTCACCACAGGGCAGCACACAGCCATCCACGTGGGAGCCAGCCCGCGCTCCAGCAGGACTCGCGCCCTCTCACTCATCCTGTGACAGTGGGCAGTCTCTGGGCACGGGGCCAGCAGGCAGGCTGAGATCGATGGCAATACTACTGGAGGGGAAAACCTCCGAGTCTGTGGGGCCCCTCCTCACGGCTCTGACAATGAAAGACACTGTCGCCGGCATTCTTGGGAACCCTGAAGGTAGGACAGGAGCCACTGGCCCAGGTGGGAAGGTGGGAAGGCGGGAAGGCAGGTAGGTCAGACCCAGGCTGCACTGATCTGTGTGTTTGCAAAGACCTGGCAGCAACGTGGATGTGGCTCCTCTGACACCATGCCCTGCAGGAAGGGGGACACGCGCAGGGGCTCGGCCTCAGTTTCTGCAGCTGAAGTCCTGTGATTTGTGATCCATCAGGATGAGAAATGGGAAAGGAGAAAGCATAGGAGGGAAGGTTCGTGCCTGTGTGATGGAGCAAGTCGGAGGTCATGGAAGCCATACGCTGCGCACCCTCTGCCTGAGCCTGGCCTGTTCTCCCGTGAGAACATGCTTCACTCTCATGCACTGCTCCCAAATGTTTAAAGCCACACATCATTAGGTTGCCTGATTCTAGCAAAAGAAGAAAAATTTAAAAATACTTGCCATATAAGGAGAGGGGGCGTTGTCATCAGAAACACTGTAGAAGGACACCTCCACCGGGAGGGTCAGGTGGGTGGGGCAGAACACGCCACTGGCCCCCACCTCGGCAGTAAAGCCGTCCACCACCCCGAGGGGGTCTAAACGGAAGTTCAGAACAGACTCCTGCAAGACAGCATCACAGGGGAAGGTCAGATGCACTGCCATGCTGTCTGGTGCTGTGCAGTGCTCCCTCCCAGGGCCACTGCCCTCCTGCGACCGTCCGTCTCCTACCAATTTCTACTCTGAGTTTGGCCCCTCCTCGCCATTCCAGCCAACATGAGTTCTCCTGGAACCTCACCATTTGTTGTATTTCATTGTTTAGTATGGAAATTTGGTATCTCTAAGCAAAAAATATGCTCTGAACTGGGAATGGTGGTGCATGCCTATAATGCCAACTACTCAGGAGGCTGAGGCAGGAGGATCAAAAGTCTGAGATCAGCCTGTGCAACTTAGGCAGACTGGACTCCCTTGTCTTTCCAGTGGTTGCTGGTGTCACACTGGACTGAACTAGTGGAAGAAGACAATCACAGGACAGATGCGCTGAGGGCACAGAAGGAGGTTATGCAATAGAAAACTCTGAATGAGAGAGAGCGAGAAGGTGGCTGACTCCCCACAGTCACCGGATGGCTGGCCTGTGTGGCTGCTTCTCTGGGCCAGTGTGTTACGGACCCACCAGGGGCCATGTCAATAGTCAGCTCTTCTCAGCATGTTACAGCGAGGAGCCTCTGTCCTGCTGCACGAAACACAGCCAAGGTGAGTGTGACATGCAAGTCTCCCAGACTGCCACACCTTCTCTGCCACCGATCATCGGACTCACTAAGAAATATCTTCTGTACCTTACTGAAGACAGAACCAAATTCATTACGAAAAGAAGCTGGGAGCCAGAGAGCCACACAACCTCTGCACATTTTCCCTAGTGTGCACACAGCTACCCAAACAGAACCTGCTAACAGCAGACCTGATGTGAGGGTCCCGAAGCCTCTCCTGCCCCTCAGGCTGTGCGTGTGTGAGGGGTGCTCTCCCCACCAGCCTCATGGCAGTGTGAAGGTGCAGAATGCCTGGCTCTCTCAGTGTGGTCTACAGGGTTTTCTGAACCCAGAACTCCGCACATGCTGGCAAGCTCGGCCACTGAGCTACAGGCCCAGTTCTTTCCATTTTATTCGGTCTTATCTTAATTGTTTTTGAGACAGGGTCTTGCTGGGGTGCCCAGCTTGGCCCTGAACTCTGGATGCTTCTGCCTCAGTCTCCTGAGCAGCTGGGTCTACAGGTGTGCACCACTGGCACCTGGTTGCAGTTTTCGTTCTAAGACACAGGAATGGTGCGTTCGGCCTCTCAGAACTGAGACTCTATGGTGTTAAAAGAGTCAATTTAACAAAAGTTTCTTTTTATTTCTCCTAAAACTGTGAAAGATAGTTTCAAAATTAAAATAATTCTAAAGAATACAATATTGGCAACCCTGGTAAAGCTTAATTTATGTTAATTAAAAATACAAAATTTAAATTATTTCTTCTAAAAACATACCAATTAAAATGTCATTTATAGGTTTGCATTTAAGGTTATTTCGATAACTGAGCTCATGATATATTTGATGATAGGCACAAGTATTCATATAAACAAAGAGGCATGTGCATCAGTTGGGCATAGTGCACACCTGTAATCCCAGCACTCTGCGAGGCTGAAGCAATAAGGCTGCAAGTTGGAAGGCCAGCCTGGGCAACTTGGGATACTTCGTGAGACCCTGTCTCAAAATTAAAAATTAAAAAAAGGGCTAGGGATGTAGTTCAGGGCGAGGGTCTTGAGTTCAATACCCAGTTACCCTTCTCCATGCAAAGTACACGTACCAGATCTTTAAGCACCTGACAGATCCAGACTTGGAGAGAAGTTACTCACAAGAGAGAGGCCCTCTGACCTTGGGAATCAATGTCCCAGGCCAGCGGCTGCTGTCAGCCCTCAGTCACTCTTCCCGGGCCTCAGGCCAGTCGTTGTGTTGTCCCTCACTATGCTCCCCGGGCTGGCCTCTGACTCCTGGGTCCTGCGGCCTGCCTGCCTCACCCAGGAGGCCCAGCAGCGGCCCGAGGACTGAGGCAGCTGTGCAGCTCGGAAGTCACGGCCTCACCTCTCCTGGGCCAAGCTGCCTCTCCACCGCCATCCACAGCTATCCACCCCAGGGATCACTGTGACCGCCCTGCCAACTCCCCTTCCCGGGAAACCAAACCAAACCAAGCCAAAAAAGTAAATCCAAGTGGAAATCCTTTGGAAAAGACACTTGATTTACTTCTTTTAAACAAAGAAAATTTTACAAAGACATAAGTAATACCCTTAACTCAGTTAAGAAACTTCAACTCTTAAAACAGCTTCAAGTCACATTACCTCAAAATTCCCTAGGAGACTCAGACTTGTTACAGATGGAGCGCTAGAACTCAAAAAAGGCTTTTCGTGAATATGTTGGTCATCTTCAATGTTTAAACATGGTCGAGGACTATTAAAAAAATAAGCAAAAAAATAAAGCCATTAATCACAACAGTTTCTTGTTTACATCGTATAAAATTAATTTATGTGAATTCGAACAATTTTACTCTAAGTACCATAATGACATTAATATCAAACTTTAAAATATAAAACTGTTAGCTTAAAATTTATATTTAACTATGTCTGCCTACCCACCTCTCTACTTGCTACCTGTCACATGGAGGCACCCGTTAATGCAGACTTGTGCCAAGTGTGAACTAAAGTGTTACCCGAGGGCTGGGGACATAGCAAAGCGAGTAAACGTCCAGCACATGGGAGGCCTTGGCTTTGATCGCTGGCACCAAAATAAATAAATAAGTAAAATAAAATTGCCAACATGGAAAAAAACTGTCAAGGGTTTTTTTCTGCAATGGAATTCAAGTTAAGGTTAATGACCAAACATATATAAATGTACTTAAATGTCAGAGCAGGCCACTCATGCAGCTGTGACCGCATCAGTTTCTCCCTTATGCTCAGTAACCCAAGTGCAGAGCACCGTGCTGAAGACCAGTCCTGTTGTCTCTGTCTTTCACCAACATCGCTCACTGTAAGAGGCTACAAGTTTGCGCAACTATTTCATACTCACAAATTGACTTTAAGATAGATACCTTCTAGATGATAAGCTTTTCAGATGTAGTAATGAAGAATCCGGATCAAAGCAACCTGACTGTGCTTTTCTCTGAGGAACCTAAGGTCAAAATAATAATTTGTGACATTAAAAGACTGTCATTCTTTCTCGACCTGATAAAATACTTTTCAAAAAAATGTTATGCATATCTTTAATATAACGTCTCCTAACAGCTTACTTCAAAATAATGCTGTTTATTACATATTTACCCTACATTCTCATTTTATTAGCTAGTATAGAAAAAAAAGGATAATTAATAAAGGCACTCACTTTAGGTTTCAAGGGTTTAAGAATGGGAACCACTTTTTGCTAAAACTAGACTTCATGTGGAGCTCCTACTTTAAATTGTGTAGACTTCTCTATGGGGGTAGGCGGGATAGGAAAGCACGAGCTTGCGCACGGCCCACGGCACTGCTGCCTCCATCTGTCCTGTGCCCGTCCCGCCCACTGCCCCAGCCCTGGGAAGCCGAGGACCCAGAGGACAGGCTGGGAAGCAGCACTGTGGACTCCCAGACCACGTGGCATCTGGGCAACCACTGCCTACCTCAAAACACTCTCAAACGCAAGATCCAGGTGTAAATTAAAGACAAAATCATGTTGAACAGGAAAGTTAGACAGATCTGTCTTTAGAATATTAAGTCTGTATAGAATATGTGACTCACAGGTGATACTAGAAATCCTACACATCCCATCTCTGAGTCGTCTGACTCTACCACACTTATTTATTGTGGTTAGAACTCAGTTACAAAATTTTCAACTTAAACGCTGATGCCTTCAATTCTGGAAAGTTCTCATTCTTTCTAATATAGAATTCTCCTTATTCCATCTCATCCTCCTTTTGGAAGCAGCTGGGTCTATCCTTTTTTCCATTTTTGTACCACATTCTAGGTGCTTTCTATCTGTCTCTTATTCAGCGGAGTTTTGTTCCGCTGATTCTAGGCGACTACCTCTTCCATCCGAGCGTGTGTGTGTGCATTCTTCAGGACCGTGTTCTTCCTATCTAGGGTCTATTTATTTCCTTTTCACATCAGCACGTTTTTTCATCTTAATTTCCTCTCTTTGCCTTCTTTTAGCTCTACAACATTTGAAGGAGAATTGTTTGTAACTCGCTTTCAGGCTACTCTAACAGGGTTCAATCCTTGAACCCTCCCATTTCTTGCTCCTGCTGATTCTTTAAAGGTGCTGTGAGATCATTTTCACAAGAGGTGATTTTTAAGAAAATAATTTCCTGGCAACCTGGTGTAGAGATATGGGGGCTGCACGCTTCCTCTGCTGGCCGCAGCGACTTTTATGGGATTGAATTTAAAACCCTTTAAACAGTTTTCAATTAAAATTCAAATAAAATGACTTGCAAACATTTCAGATGTTTGCAGGTATTCAGCATGAAAGAAGAGAAAAAACATTTACGGGACTTGAAAGAAGAGGCAATCCAGTTCGGGGGTGAAAGGCTCGGGTTGAAGTTCCGTCCAGGGAATGAAAGTTAGGCTTTTGCCAGACACTTGAGTATTTCAGTGCGGTCCTCTGTGAGGAAGAGAATCACTGTTCAGTGGTGACATTAGTACAGCTTTTGCCGCCCATGGCCTGGGCGCTGAGTCTCCAGACCCATCCCTAACACGCCTGCATCCTCTGTCCCCACGCAGGTTAACATCTCTGCCTGTGCCCGGTCTTTCCCCTCAGAAAACAACACCTGTGTTTTTGTTTTTCTGTAATATGCTGCGGATGTTCTAAGGTATGCCCAAACAACTGCCTTACTACATAGGTACCCAGATGGGCCTGGGACGTAGCCCAGTGGTGCCACCAGCTGCCTCGAAAGCACAAGGACCTCAGTTCAATCCCCAGTACCAAAAAACAAATGTATGTACCCAGAATCCATCAAATAGATTAGTACTTAATTTGTAAAAATCAACTACCTGGGAAGAAAAGAAAGTCAGTATGACATTTTAAAATATAAAGAAAGCTATGTCAACAGCCATTTTCAGAGGGCTCAATTTGGATACAGGAACATCAGAAATAAACCCTGAAATACACACTGCAGTTGAAAACACTGTGATTCTGATGAGATTTAAGAAACACGCAAGGCAGGCATGGTGCCATGTACTTACCTGTAATCTCAGCTCTTTGAAAGGCTGAGGCAGGAGTGTCACTTGAGCCTAGGAGTTTGAGGCCAGCCTGGCAGGGCAACATAGAAAGACCTTGTCTAAAAAAAAATTATGAGAGTAAAAAAGTGGGAGAGAGGGAGAGAGAGAGAGAGAGAGAGAGAGAGGGAGGGAG